GATCAAGCAGGATACCCAATAGTAGACCCGCTCCTGAACATACACAGTAAAGTGCAGTACTGGTCAGGCGATTTGCAAGTAGAAGGAATGCCCCCGCCCAGCCAGCAGGAGTGGTGGCCCGCGTTCCGCCGAGCGGCAAACCAGCATAGCCGCGCACTGGAGCCGATCTCGCTGGCAGAAGTGCTGGAGGCACCCGCGGTGTTTAATCCAGTCATATGTATGAGAGCTGACAGAACCATTCCGCGCTGGTGGAGCCAGCTGCCGCAAGAAGCCCTCTATCATCTCTGTTACCTCTTCAACCTCGCCGAGCAAACACTTGCTTGGCCACAGCAGATACTTGTCAACGTGGTGCAACTTATGTTTGAGTGCGAGGAGGCTGACAGGCCCATCACACTAACGCAGGCACTGCACAGAGTCTGGTCTCGCACCAGAAGGCCGCAGGTAGCAGACTGGTCGAATGCGCATGTCCAGTTTTGGGATAAGGCAGTAGCTGGTTCCAGCTGTTTGCGAGCTGCCCCCCCTGCGGCAGACCAAGCTGGCGATGGCGAGTGTACAAGGATGTCCATGGTGTGAGGTCCCGTGGGGCATGGAAAAGTTTCACGATGCGCTGCAGCCCAGACAACTGTGGGAAGCAGGGAACACAGCAGGATACCCGCTCATGCATCTATACCTTGCCCTCAGCCTCTACTTTGGCCCAATAGTTTGCCGAGGCAGCGGTGCAGTTGCAGAGGCTGTACAGGCATGCCGCGGCACCCCATCAGGGTGCAGCCAGAGTGTTGACATGTCTAGGTTGGCGCCGTGGCACACGTTTGCCGAGCTTCATGCGCAGCGTCGGCCAGTGCAGTTTGAGAGCTGGGTTGAAGACGCGGCCCAAGCCACCACAGGCACGGAGCGAGAAGTGACAGACAAGACAGCAGCAGCGGCAATGCATTTCGCCGTGCGCAGCAAGGAGCAGTGATTCCACAGATCGGTCAAGAGTACGTTCGCCTCCAACCCGCCGCGAATAGCCAAGGCTGTGCAGGCCAGGCTACAGCAGGCGGGCATAAAACTTAAGGCACGCCAGTTTGTCAAGGACCTTGGAGTTGACGGCGCGGCCCACAGTCGAGTGACGAAGACCGCCAGCAAGCGAATGCAGGCCAGCCAGGCCAGGGGCCAAATGGTCAGGCAGGTAGCCAAGTCAACGCGCAAAGCAGTCTCACTGGCCAAGGCGGGGTTTTGCCCCGAGCCACCTGGGGCCTGGAGGCCCACGGGATGGCACCGACGGTCTTGCTGAGGCTCAGGGCGCATGTTTCGGGAATGGTAGGCATCAAGGAAGGATGGTGCGCGAAGACGACGAACAGGGTCACCTTCCCTACGGCACATCAAGACCCAGTTGTGTTTGGCCGTCTCAAACATTTTAAGGCGTGGCTGGCACCCCTCCCTCGCCCGCGCACAGATAGGGGCGCCGCGCTCGAGCTTGCGTGGAACGGGGCCTGGGGAGTACTCCAGGCAGCCAGCAGCATGTGCAATAAAGTCAAGGGCACTCTCGCGGCGGCGGTGGCCGCGCTGCAAGACTTTAGATGCCAGGCCCCCTCCCCATGGCTGTGGCGCAACCAAGACGGTGAGGACATTTATATAGTTAATGATGGCCCCGAGCGCGTGCTCGACTTTGAATGCTACGGCGCCCTCGGCCAGCAAGCGTGACAGGCGGCGGCGCGGCACTACCAGGGCAAATGACTCGAGTTCGGCCCAGATCTGTTTACTAATCATGCGGGGATGAGGCAATTCAAAAAGAAGCCACGCATGATGAATTAGGAGCCTTTCGGATGGTCATGGCAGGCGCGCTGTGGCCAGCCAGGCGTCGTTTCGGCGACGAAGCGGCGAGGCCCCCCGTGGCCGCGCCTCCTGAGGCCAGCAGGGGGGCAGCCGCCCCAGACAGCCCCCCCCCCCCCCCCCCCCTTCCCAGGGGCCCAAACAGGAGCCCAGGAGGGGGAGCTGGGGATGAGGGCTACAGTTTTGAGGACATGTTCAGGCAGGCCCAGGAGGAGGAGGGGGCGTTGGCATGGGAGGGGCCGCCCGAGTCGCCCGTGGAAGAGCCCGTGCAGGAAGCCCCTTGAAGACCCGCGTGGAGCAGCCCCCAGTGCCCTAGATGCCAGGCGTCCCAGGAGACCCTCTTCTAATTTTGGGAGTGCCCGCGCAACGCGGACATCGAAGGAGTCTCGCAGGAGCTCGAACACCAGGCCCAGCAAGAAGTAGATGAGGCCCCGTGTGTTTGGCTCAGGGGGCTGGTCTCTGTTTTATGGACATACCTGCACGCCGCGCGCCCGATCCAGAGGGGGGATTCAAGCAGGAGGCACCCTCGGCAGCGCGCCAGTCTGCCCACTTTTCGATGGGATGGTGGTGGCGACGGACGGGTCGGGGGGAAAGTATCATGATGACTACCGCCTGCGTCGATGCGGGTGGGGTTTTGCAATAGTCAGGGGATGGGAGCTCGTGGCGTGGGCACGTGGCCCAGTCGACCACTGGAAGCACACCGTCCCGATCTCGGAGTTAATAGCGGCAGCACAGGCAGTCAGCACGACGTCAGGCCCAATTGTGCTAGTTGTACATGCGCAAAGTGTTGTCTCAGGAATCAGCAAAGGCCCACTGCCCCCCCCCCCATGAGTCCAACAAAAAGCTGTGGGCCAAGTTTTGGAGCGTGGCGGATGGCAGACAGATTGCGGTGCACAAGCTCAAGTCCCACCTGACCCCTGAAGAGGCTCAGAGGGCCGAAGTAGACCCCCAGTACTGGCTGGCCAACCAATGTGCCGACGCATGTGCGGAAGAAGGGGCTCGTGCAGCGCAGCTTCCAGCCTTGGACATAGCCGCAGTTCAACGGATTGATGTTTTGGCCGGCTCAGTGCACGCACGCCTGCCTAAGGCTGCCAGTCACATCGCCTCGCGGGCCCCAGAGATTTATGGAGCCTCCTCGAGGCAAGATCGGCAGCGAGAGGCCAAGGTGCGAGCGGAGGGTCGGAGGGATAGCGAACAGGCTGCCGCAGTCTCGACCCAGCACCGCCTGGCGCACGGCGCCCGAGGTGTGCACTGTCGGTTTTGCCACGGGCCCCACGGCAGCTTGCCCCAAGCTCCAGTGTTTGGGAACCTCGTGTCGAGGCGTACCGCTGAGGTTCGACCCCTCCCACAAACTCCTGCGTTTCCGTGGTTTCTTCTGGTGCAGAATGTGTGTGGAAGGGGTCGGGGCCCAGAGTTTCTGCAAATTGGGGAAGCCTTGCAACGCCTCGCAGCCCATCACGAAGCATGGGGAGAGGGCCATCAGAACCCTAGAGGATAGTAGACTCCCACCTGGGTATAAAGCGTGGCCCCAGCCAGATGATCTGGAGCCCCCTAGGGAGGTGATCAGATAGGTGGCACTGCCATAGCGCTACTTGTCAGAGGATGATGGACGAGGGACGAGGGACGAGGAGGAGGAGGAGGAGAAGCAGGAGGAGGAAGAAGAAGAAGAAGAAAGAGGAGGAGGAGGAGGAGGACGAGGAGGAGGAGGAGGAGGAGGAGGAGGAGGAGGAGGAGGAGGAGAGGGAGAGGGAGGAGGAGGAGGAGAAGGAGGAGGAGGAGGAGGAGGAGGAGGAGGAGGAAGAGGGGGAGGAGGAGGAGGGGAGGAAGAGTGGGTTTGGGGCACCGAGCGCAGACAGCCCCCTGCAGCGGTGGCACGTGCAGAGCTCTGCGTCCGCGTGGGCAGAGGAGAGACACTCCGCAGGGGGGGGGGAAGGTCGGGGCGACGACCGACAGACGGCCCAAGCGAGTCCAAGAGGCCTCGACGTTCGCCGAAGATGCTTCCAACACGGCCGCGGATGGCCTCAGGAAGGCCCAAGACGGCGTCCAGACGGCCTCCGAGGGCCCCAGGATGGCTCAACAAGGACTCCAGACGGCCGAAAAGCCTTGAGCCTCTGCAGCACCTTTGTGCCAAGTCCTTGGGATGTCTGTCGCTGCCGGCGCGGATCCGGAGGCGAGAGGTGAGGGACACCCATGAACACGAATGAGAAGGAGGGGGCGAGGAGAAGAAGGAGGAGGGGGAGGAGAAGGCGGAGGAGGAGGTGAGAGTGCTCAGGGGCTCCGAGGTACAGTCCAGGGGGAGGTGTTCGCATGCAGTCTGCGCGCCCACGTCGGCGCAACCCCCACATGCCTTCTTGCCACTGAGGAAGGCTCACCTGCAGCCCCAGCGGCAGAGTTCTCATGCAGTCGGCGCGGCCATTGCGGCACACTTCAACGACCGGCCGGTGTGGGACGCTCAAGTGCAGCCGGCGCTTTGAATTCTGCATGTCGCGTGCCGCATAATAATCACCGTCACCCCTTTCCCATCCCGCAGCCCAGCCCTTCCTCCTTGTCGTACTCCAGGCCCCCACGGTATGGCGTGGTGTTTTGGTAGTTATTGGTGGCAATGGGCGCAGTCTACATGCAGGGGCAAGCCTGTGTGTAGCAGTTGATGCTTGTGCAGTTCACCATTGACCGAAGACTCGCCCAGTAACGATGTTGTGTCCAGGAAAGTTGGGCAGATATTCAGAGATGGAAAGGCGCGCGCCGTCGTCGTGGAATGGACTCGCTTGCTTTCTGGCGCTGGAACATCGGGCATGCCTGTTACGGAAATCGTGTTTCTGTTAGTCGGTGCCTTCGCCCTTACTGATATTTTCATGCAGTGTTCGACGTGGTGGAAGAAGTCCAACATGGCTTCCATCGGCTTTGCGTTCGTTTTCAGGGGGTCTGCACCGACACTTGCTATGCGCTACTGCGCCCGAGTGACACGATGCGCATCTGGATGCAAAGGTACGGTGCAGACGGCCTTGCACCTGTTGGACATTGGCGGATTGACGCATGTGGCCAGTACAAGTGTGCATGCCCTCAGCGTTACATCGTATAAGAAGGTTGCGTCGTTCAGATGACGACGTGTCTTACACGACGAATGTTGTCGAGTGGACCATAGTGCAGTGTAGCGTGTATCAGTCTTTTCTGCGTTACCATTGTCTGAGGCCCCTGGAGCCGTCAGCCCCTCGCAGCCTGGGCGCATACCATCGACACCATCAGCAGAGCTGCGTGGAAGTCGAGACGAAGCACACGTCGCCGACGAAGAGAGGCCGCTGCATCTCGCGGTCCATGCACTTCTCGCAAGGGTGATTCATCTGCTCTGCAAGGTTTTCGCCTCTTGTGCCAATTTCGCACAATGTATATCTCCAGATGTGTGCATGGCCCAGCTGTGACGTTACTAGCGTACCGCACTGCATTTCTTCTCAATTTCTTTCTCCGCATCACTGGACCCATGTCGCTGCCCTCCAGCGAAATCTAGCGACCCAGCGTTCGGGCCTCGAGTGCCACGGGACTTTCCAGGCACTCCCGATGTTTTGCCTGAAGATGTCAGGACATCTTCTGATGTTGGCAGGCTTGCTCTGCTGCTTGGGTCGGTTGATTCCTTGATCAGTTCGAAGCGTCGCCTGCGTGCAGGGGTTCGCAAAGTGGACAGCGCTGTGTGGTCCCCCTTCTCTGCTGGGCTTTGCCCAAGAAGCTTCCCTGGCTTCTGTTGTGGAATTGGGGCTGCTGGCGACGTTCCCCCGTGGCCGGGTTCCTGCCCACAGTTGGGTAACAACGCACACACATACCGCACATCTTAGTCCTTCCAGTCTGGCATGCAGGCGGGATGAGAGGGGTAACCGAGTAAGCATATCGAGAACTTCTTGGTGTCGTTTTCGCCATCGTCGTTGTAATGATATCTTTCGTTTTCCACCCCTCACATGTTGCCTTCCTCGTTCTCTTCCTACCCTGCGAGCCTTTCCCCGTCCTCCTCAGCTGTTTTCGAGGAAGTTCCTGCTGGCAGAGTCTATTGCGGGTCTCACGAAAGCCTTTAGGTGGTGGCTCCTCGGGGGCCTCTGGAAGCCTCCTGGGCGCCTTTGTGGGGATCTCTCTGGGCGTCCTCGGATCACCTTGCTGGGAACGGTCTCCCTCAACGACCGCGTCACGATTTGGAGTGCTTCGGGGGGCCTCTCGGGCCATGTTGGGCCGTCATTAGGGGGGCTCCCTTGGACTCCCTTGGACTCTCTGCAAACCGTTCTTGGTAGTTTAAAGATGATGCTCGGTGCCTCTCAGGCAGTCTTGGACGCCAGCCGAGGAGCCAAGTATCAACACATCATTTATTAAATCACAGGACAGCAACGTATTTTGCATTTCGGATGTCTCTTTGGGGTGTGTTTGGGGCCGTCTGGTGGCGTCTGAGAGATGTCCGGGGCCGCTCGGGGCTGTCGCGGGGAAGTTTGGCCGCCCGGCAGGGGTGTCCAGGAGGTCCAGAAGTTTTTGGGAACGCCCTGCGAGGGCGTCTGAGGGGCCCAAGGGCCAGGGGTCCGGGCGCTGTTCCCAACCATCCTGTGGTGTTGGGTCCTCGTTTTGAAGAAATAGCGCCCCGCGCCACCTCTTCCTTTCTCCTTCCTCCTCCCGTTCATCCCTCATCTCACCCCTGCCTTCTGTCTGAGCGTGCCCAATACGACACACCTCAGAGCCCCGAATCATCAGGGGTAACTCGGGTCAGGGATAACTCGGGTTCGTTTCTCGGGAATCCAAACCCGAGTTACCCCGGACCCGAGTTACCCCGGATAACTCGGGCGTCCAGAGCCCCGAATCATCAGGGATAACTCGGGTCAGGGCTAACTCGGGTTCCTTTTCCGGGAATCCAAACCCGAGTTACCCCGGACCCGAGTTACCCCGGATAATTCGGGCGCCCAAACACCCCTCACACTCTTCATGGCCCCATCGGGAGCTCCACCAAATGCCCCCGTGGCAGGGTTCGCATGCGGCTCCCCGCCCATCGCACGTCCGTATCGGCACACCCCTCACAAGTTTCGCGGCCCCATAGGGAGGTCCACCGAGGACGATACTCACAATGTCGTTACCCACAACTTCATATGTTTGAATCCTTCGTTTGCAGGGTATGTGTTTGACTTTGACTTTTGCTGTGGCGGGGGGGTGCTCGTTTCCCGATTTTCGGACCAGTACAATTCGATGCATCGATATGTGTATATACATATCTATAGAGAGGGAGAGAGAGAGAGAGAGAGAAACAACAAAAACTTATCCTGGCGAAGGATCCAACCATATGCAATTGTGAGTACCGCAATTGTGAATATCTTCTTCGGTGGCGCTCCCTATAGGGGCCACGAAACGTGTGAGGGGTGTGCCGAAATGGGTGTGCGGGACGCATGCGGGCACACCCACTGGGACCTTCGGTGGAGCTCCCTATGGGGCCACAAAACGTGTGAGGGGCGTGCCGAAATGGGTGTGCGGGACGCATGCGGGCACACCCACTGGGACCTTTGGTGGAGCTCCCTATGGGGCCACGAAACGTGTGAGGGGTGTGCCGAAATGGGAGTGCGGGACGCATGCGGACACACCCACTGGGACCTTCGGTGGAGCTCCCCATGGGGCCACGAAACGCGTGAGGGGTGTGCCGAAATGGGTGTGCGGGACGCATGCGGGCACACCCACAGGGGCCTTCGGTGGAGCTCCCTATGGGGCCACGAAACGTGTGACGGGTGTGCCGAAATGGGTGTGCGGGACGCATGCGGGCACACCCACTGGGACCTCCGGTGGAGCTCCCTATGGGGCCACGAAACGTGTGACGGGTGTGCCGAAATGGGTGTGCGGGACGCATGCGGGCACACCCACTGGGACCTTCGGTGGAGCCCCTATGGGGCCACGAAACGTGTGAGGGTGTGCCTGCGGGACGCATGCGGGACTGGGGTGGAGCTCCCTATGGGGCCACGAAACGTGTGAGGGGTGTGCCGAAATGGGTGTGCGGGACGCATGCGGGCACACCCACTGGGACCTTCGGTGGAGCTCCCTATGGGGCCACGAAACGTGTGAGGGTGTGCCGGTGTGCGGGACGCATGCGGGCACACCCACTGGGGCCTTCGGTGTAGCTCCCTATGGGGCCACGAAACGTGTGAGGGGTGTGCCGAAATGGGTGTGCGGGACGCATGCGGGCACACCCACTGGGGCCTTCGGTGTAGCTCCCTATGGGGCCACGAAACGTGTGAGGGGTGTGCCGAAATGGGTGTGCGGGACGCATGCGGGCACACGCAGGAGGAGGGGGAGGAGGAGGAGAGGAGGGGAGAGGAGACGCGGGCCACCGTCTCTTCAAAACGAGGGCCCAACACCACAGGATGGTTGGGAAAAACACAACAACAAAAAACAGCAAAACAACATAGAGAGAGTGCGGCGAAAGCGAGAGCGACGACCGATCAAGTAAACAAATAAAGAGCGACCAGTAGAGCGGTAAAGAGAGAGAGAGAGACAGAGAGAGAGAGAGAGAACGAACGAGAGAGAGAGAGAGAAGAGAGAGAGAGAGAGACTTTGATTCGAATGATGCAGACGCTAAATCATGAACAATAGAGAAGTGGAAAGCAGTAGAACATCTGATCACATTCGTTGCCATTATCCTGTTTCTTCGAAGGTGGTCCCGTCCGTACCCAGAGGGTCTCTTCCGAACCAGATATATTGTTTTAGATAATAAGGTTTCGAGTCACAGGCTTGCACCCTTTTGTAGTGGTCACATTCAGTTCTTTCCCAGGACAATTGTGCAACACATCATGTACGTAGCGTCCTGCGGACAGCGGTTCATGCACATCTGTTGCAAGAGAACCCCTCGGGCTCGGCATGACTCAACCATGTGGAGAGGCTGTGCAGATATCCCTGACATGTTGAACCCAGTGCTATGTACTGAATCATCACCGTGACCGAAAACACTTTCACGACCTCTTCACTCTCACCCTCCTCGCAGGCGGCCAGGCTTGAGGCAGCCTGTGCGAGAACAACGCTGCCCTACACCAATCAGACGTCAGACATCTTTGGAAAACGCTTCAGCTTTCATGGACTCCATATTCCGTTCAAGAACATCCAGAATCCAGACTGGACCAAGGGCGTATTCTTGGAGTTTCTTTTCTTCGTAGGACTGTCGTATGCCTGGACCTGGGCTGCGGACCTGGACTGCCGTTTAGGCAAACGTTTGGAGCGAAGGCCATGTTCTTAGCCTAAGCTTGTCTGAAGTCTAAGTCGGGGTCTAGGGGTGTAGGTCACCCGGAGGCGGCGCGACGTGCCGCGGTCTGGGCCAGAGCGGTTGCCCCTCTCGAAAGGGGACGGCGGGACGGGTGGAGGGGGCGAAGTTGATCGCGGGGCGCGATGCGCTGAGTCAGGTGACTTGGGAGTCTCGAGCCCCAGGGTGGCCCCAACGTAGCTTTGGGGCTCGACAGTGCCCTAAAACTGGCTCCAAGGTGGCCCCAACTGGGCTTCGGAGTTCGAAAGTAGCCCCAAAGGAGCCCCAAGGTGGACCCAAGGTGGCCTCAAGGTGGCTCCAGAGTGGCCCCACGGTGGCCCCAGAGGGGCCCAGAGCGGCCTTGGGACCCCAAAGGGGCCCCAAGGTAGCACGCTATCCCTCGTGGGCGACAAACATATCCGTATCCGCGGCCTCGCGGGCCAGATCCTTGGGCCGCGTCCCCGCGGACACGGGGTGTTTTGTTCGCGATTGCCCCGCGCGGAACGTATTCGTGCGACCGCGCATCCGTGGCCTCGCGCCCCGGAATCCAGACCGCGAGGGCGCGAATACGGATATGCTCGCTGCTCGTGAACCTCCTGGTGGAACAGTCCAGGCATCCTAGATGGGGCGGAGCGAATGGGATCGGAGGATCGACGAGGCATCGGCGATGCGGCGATGCATCGGTGATGCGGCGCGATGTGGAGCTCGACTTTCTCCACGCCGACGGCGCCGATGCATCGGCGATGTATCTGCGAGGCCTCGGCGATGCGGTGCGATCCTCCGACCCCATCTACAGTCGAGCTTCTGATGAAGAGACCTCCTTCTGAATAGCTGGGGTAGCGTTTCTTTACACATTTCCCAGAAAGCTGGCCCAGCTTCTTGAGCACGTTCACCCCTCCAGTGTGAACAGTCGAAATTGGCCCAGGAGAAAAGCCTCCAGGAAGCTGGCCCAGATTTTTTATTATGGATTTGCTGGTCATGCTTCTGGCTGTTCTCGGGCCCCATCTTGGAGGCCTTTACACATCGCGGCCGTCGGCGTGCTCGCCCGCCGCGCCGAGGCCCCAGCGGCACGCGGAGCGCGAGCAGCGGGCCGCGCCCGGCCAGCCATCCAGCGGAGCGGCGGCCTGGCCGCCGGCGGAGCTGCCTCCAGCGGCGGGCTCCCCGAAGGGCGGCTGCGTCCTGGGACCCCCTCGAGGAGCGATCCTGCTGCAGGCCGAAGTGTTTCTCAAGTTGGTCTCTCTCTCTCTCTCTCTCTCTCGGGAACTCAAAACAGCATAACATAGGGTCGATCATCTGATTGAGATACCTCCTCCCGAAAAGATGGTCCAGCCTTTCTTAGCCAACTTGCCGGAAAGCTGGCCCAGTTTATTGAGCACGTTCGCCCTCCAGCGAGATCAAAAGAATTTGGCCCAGGTTTCCCTTAAGAAACCTTTGTGAAGCTGGCCCAGATGTCTTGGATGATGGGTTTCTTGACCACACTTCAGGCTGTAGACTTTTGGAGGTCCGCGCGGATGTCTTGGATCTGCGTCGAGGACCCCTGGCGGCGCCTCTGGCATCGCCTCTGGCACGCTCCGCGCGCCAGGGAGGGGTGCCTGCGCCGATCAAAAAGCTCCGCGCGAATTTCTGCTGCGGGCAGAACTGTCAAGCAGTGGCGAAGCGTCCCCCAACTCGCCTTTATGCCCACCAAACTATATTCTTACCGTTCCTGGTATGCAAGAAATGTTTTTCGAACATTTCTGACTGAGGCCGTCCTGTTTCGATGCATCGGCTGTATGCTCTAAAACTTTTGAACATGTTCTTAGAATGTACTTCTGATCCAAGAACATGTCCTTGTAGGCCTATAGGAATGCTGGAACGGTCGGCCCCTGCTCAACCTCATTTCCCAATCAGTGCTTGCACTGAAGGGGTCTTAGCGGAAGTTGGAAGATTTGGCGAAAGTTTCCCGCCGATTTTGGTAGCAGGCTGGGTTCCCCGGTTCCCGGGTTACCAGGTTCCCGGTTATTGGTTTTGGGCGGATTTCGGTAGGTTTGGGATTCCCGGGCTCCCAGGTTCCCGGTCGATCTCCTCAGCGAAAGCCATCTGATTGGGTTTTTCCCTGGTGTAATAGAACTATTTTGTTGCGGGCCGAAGTGTTTCTCGATTTGCTCTCGAGATTCAGCGCAGCTACAGGGCTCTGCGTCATACATCCGATCGCCGATCGTCGAACGCATCAGTCTGCAATCTTGAGGGGGCTGAGCTCAGTTCACTAGCCGAGGTAGACTCGAACAATTCTGTCGCATCGCAGCTCCGCGCACTTTTGGTTGTCGCGGCGCTGGCGATCGCTCGGCGCGAGAAGGGCCTAGGTCAGGCCGTGAAGCGTCAGACGAACACACCGATGAGGCGGGGAAGGCGAGGACGGCCGCGGAGATGGGATATTGCACGTCTACGCCTCCTAGATGGGGTCGGAGACGGTAGGGTCGGAGGATCGCGCCGCATCGCCGATGCATCGCCGATGCGGCTCGATGTGGAGCTCGATTTGCATCGCACACCTCGGCCCAGCGGAAGCGGCAGTGGAGCTCCCGGTCGCTGGCGGTCGGCGGGACGAGGGCGCGGAAGGCGCGGTTGGGTCCGCGGCCCCAGCGCAGCCGCCTGAGACAGACGGTGGGGCAGGCCCTGGGCCGGGATCCCCGCCCAGGCCGAAGGTGCGGCCCATCCAGATGGGCGAGCTCCTCAGGAAGGTTGTCAGCAAGCGCATCCTGGCTGCCGCCCGCGGCGGCATCGACGCGGCCGTGCTGGGCGCGCGCCAGTGGGGCGTCGGCGCGGACGGCGGCGCAGAGGGCATCATCCATGCGGACCTCGCAGTGGAGCGCATCTTCGTCAGCGGCCAGCTGCCGCGAGCGCTTGCGAAGGTGCAGGTGGATGCGGAGAACTGCTTCGGTCGGCTCGAGTGGGATGCCATTTGTGCGGAGGTGATCAAGGAGGTTCCCGAGCTGGGCCCATCTGTGGCGTGGAAGCACAGGCAGGTGTCCTACGTGGAGCAACCAGGCGTGCCCCCTCAGGTCAAGGACCGTGGGGCCGAGCAGGGGGACACCTACGGGCCGGCCGAGACAGGGGTGGCGCTTGCCTCCTTGGGCCGCCAGACGAGGCGAGCAGTGCACGCCATGCAAGTTGCAGGGGAACTCCCGTGGGCGACCCCCGATGGGGACCAGGCCACGGCGCACTTCCGCGAGGTCGAGGCGCTTGCACTCGACTGAGGCCGCAAGCAGCCCTTTTGAGCGCGCCGCGCCCAACGAGGCAGGCTCCCGCGGGACACACCCGGCGAACGCGACCCAGCAGGGCGGGGGTGTTGTGGACGTGTGGTACTGCGACGACGGGACCATCTACCTGCTGCCGGAGCTGGCTGCCCTGTACCTCCAGGCGTACGACAGCGTGACGGCGACGCAGGGCGGCAAGCGCAATTTCAGCAAGACCGTCGTCACACTGTACGCCACGGAGGAGCAGGTGCTCGAGAACGCACCCAGGTGGGACCTAGAGCGCTTGAAAACGCTGAGCCCCCTCCAAGCGCCGACTGCGCCAGGAAAAAGCCTCGGGGTGGCGTTGGGCGGAGCGCAAGCGAGGGTTGCGGACTTCCGCACCAAGGCCTCGATCGCCCAGAAGATGCACGACAAGGTGCGGCGAATCGGAGGCTCTGGGGCAGAATTGGCGCTATCCCAGGCCTGCTTCGGAGTTGCCAAGGTGACCCACCTGCTCCGCGCGTGCGGCGACGAGCTGGTGGAGGAGGCTGACGCCTTGCGGTCCTTCGACCGCCTCCAGAAGGGCACCCTCGACCGGCTTGTCCCGGGGTGCGACGCCGAGTCTCGAGCCCAAGCGTCCTTGAGCCTCCGGGTGGGCGGTCTGGGCATGAGGCGCGCCCGAGACGTCGCCCTGCCCGCCGTGGTCGCCAGCCGCGCGATGGCGCGAGAAAAGGTGCAGCAGCTGGACGCTGAGCTGGCGAAGGCCGGCCTCCTCCGAGCAGGGCAGCTTCTCGCCGAGCACGCCGCCGCCGCCCGGAGGGCGGTGGGAATGCTGCGCGCCGAGCCCGACGGCGTCGAAGCGGCCGAGGTCGAGGGGCTAGTCGCCGAGGCGGCCCACGCCGCCGCCGCGGCATGGGCGCGCCGCATGGAGGGCAAGGGCGGCGAGGCAGCGGCGCCGCGCGCGCAGTGGACGGCGTTTGCAGAGGATGAGCGGGTGGCGCCAGCAGGCGGCGCAGAGGAGCCGCTCGGGGGAGGCGCCGCCGCAGGCGGCGGCCCCTTCGGGAGCGGCGACGACGGCGTTGACGCCTTGCCCGAGCGCCCAGGCGCGAGGGGCGTCTCGCGACTCACCGCTACCGGCGTCCAACGCCAGCTCAGCATCCTCGTGGGCAACTCGCGCCTGCGCCGGCTGGTCGAGGGGCTCGAGGCGGCCGGGCGTTTCTCCGACATGCGGCGCTTGCAGGAGCTCCGCGACCCGTCTGTCGATCACAGCTGGGTCCGGCGGCTCGACTTCTGCGAGGGGCCCGTGTTGCGCGAGGACGACTATCCTTTGTGCCTGCAGCTGCGCCTCGAGCCCTGACCACCCAACGCGTCAAAACTCTGGCGCGCGCGCGCCACTATATAGGAGCAGCGTCATCATATCGCAAGATATGTGTGCATTCTAGGTGCATCGCGCCCAAAACAAACGCAACGACCCCAGAAAAAGCAAATGGACCCCCCCAATAAAAGAGCAGCGCTAACTTTCAGGACTTGTCGCCTTGGGCCCTTTTTTTGGTATGTGCCAGATATCTCTTGTGATTGGTGCTGACTTCCCCACAATAAGAGCTATCAGCTTTCATATGGGCGTTGTCATCTCAGAGATCCCTTGTTGTTGCCATCGTCGTAGCCATTTGGGCTCAAGATAGGTCGGCGCCACACAGCAGTACATGTCGTCTAGACGCCAGTCGGTTGACCTTTCTGAGCAGCAGTACAAAGATGTTCTGGGCTTGCTTCCAATGACAAGTCGTTCCAAGAGCCAGTTCATACCCTACCCGTCCACTAACATGAAGGCTGCAGTTTCTTGGGATGCAGCAAACAGATACAGGCCAGCATTGACACGTGCATTGCAAGTGTCCAGCGGGAAGGGCATCAACCAACAATCGTTCTACAAAGCTGCTCTGAAGTTTGTTTCCGATCATGGCCTGGACGTGGACCCTGGTAGCACAGAGAAGGGCGTATATAGGTTTCGCACAATAATCTCCCAGCTTGGGAACATGAAGGTCGGGACATCCCTCGTCAGTGGCGGAGGGAATTTTGCATGCTTCTCGAGATGGTCGACTCCGCGGAGAACGGTGAGAGCCTCGATGTGCTTCCACGTGCCCCTACAGCTATACAAGACGCATCGGATGACGACGCGGTCTGTTTGGGGACACCACCTCGCAAGCTGGTGCCCTTGATTGACGTCGATGAGCCTCAGACCATCTTCAGCAAAGACAGCTTCATGGAGACGTCGAATCCCGAGCTCAAGAAGATTCTGGAGAAAGCCTTCGAGGACGACGAGGGCTCCGAACACGCCTCCTCCCCATGTGCAGCGCCTAAGCGCAAACGCTTTTACTCCAAGAGTGTCGACCCGAATTTCGCGAAGATGATCGGGGATGTCCCGACGGATGACCTGAAGAAGCTCGTCGGGGAGCCAACTCACAACGTTTGCCCTGCGAGTTTCGCAAAGCTGAACCGTGAGCTGAAGGCAGACCTCAACTCCAAGCGCGGCAAGGGCAAGGGCAAGAACAAGGCCAAGGTCAAGGCCGGCAAGACCTCGAAGGACAAGCAGGGCAACGAGAAGATATCGTTTCAGAACTGGATGAGACGCCAGCACAGCGCAGTCTATGACAGAGAGAAAAAATAGGCATGCGCGACCTCGGCCTCAGCAAGGAAGCAGCCGCGATGAGAGCTCAGGAGCATGCGCGTGCGAAGGCACGCGAGCGCAGGAAGCTTAGGGGCGAGAAAAAATCCCAGATTTTGTGGAGTACTAGTTGCGCGCGCCTCTGCTGGTCTCTGCTGGCCAGCCTTTGTTTTTCAGGCCGACGGCTGTTGCGCGGGGTTCGCACTGGCCATGCAGCACACATCAACATCGACATCACCAACATCATCATCAGCATCATCATCGGCATGATCACCGTTACCAGGAGGAGGGAGGAGGGAGGATGGAGAAGGGAGGAGGGAGGAGGAGGAGGAAGAGGAGGAGGAGGAGGAGGAAGAGGAGGAGGAGGTCATGACCACCCTCATCCTCGTCGCCACTCTGCCTCTCACTTCTTACTGGCTGGCGGCCCTTCGGTCCTGGAAGAGATAGAGGGGCCCTGATCTGCTTAATGAGAGCGACGGCGACGACGATATACGTCGACTAGCTCTTTCACTCCATGGGCAACTCAAGGGGTCTAAGCATCTCGATCGGATGAGTCGAGACTGGGTTCGAGGCAAATTTGGGCAGGTCTCCTCCCTCCCCAAGGCCCCTTCTCCCCCCGTGATATCCAGCCGCGCGGCCGCAAGTCGAACCTAGGTCACCCAGCGCGCCGCCCCTTCTTGCGTGAATTGATTCCTGTATCCGACTCCCTCCTTTATCTGCCGTTGGGCCGTCTAGTTTCGCAAGTTCCGTGGAGGTCGCCATGTTTCAATGATGTCTCGAGCGAGAGCCCCATTTTGAACAGAGGACGTCTTAAAGCAGCTCGTCCGACATCGCATTTTTTCTGAGGCAGTCTCGAGCGGAAGCCTCATGTTTTGAACAGATGCGGACGAACGGCACGACACATGCCACGGCCTGGTCTTATTCACATTGCTGTTCTCTCGACTCCAACTCCCTGCCCTCCCCCCCCCTCCTCCACCCCCTCCTCTTCCGCGGCCGTTTTGGCGCGATCAGGGCATGGCTGACACACGCGCACCGATTCACGCGTGAGGTCCTTGCAGACATTCCTGCGAAGATGGCGCAGCAGGAGTACGCGCCGTTCCAAGGCGCTGCCTTTCGTCCCGGGGCAACTGGGCAAGTGGCGCGACAGGGGCAGGCGCTTAAACGCCCTCGCCCCGACCCAACTCTGGAAAGTCCGATATCCATTTGGAGAATGGGGCCAACAGGCCCTGATCAAAGCGTGCGCTCCTTCAGTCGTGTTCTCTATCTCCCCCTCGGTCGCAGGGGGGTTCTCGGAGGGCGATGCGCTTGCCACCGCCTATGCAGGCGGTGGCAAGCGCATGTGGCGCAGGAGGGGGGACTGGTGATGGCGCCTGGTCGGCAAGCCTTTTCTCCGTCTCCGTCTCCTTCCTCCTCGCGCGTCGTGTCTTCTTTTTATTATTCCTCTCTGTCGTTCCTCCAGCGGCGCCGACTTCTGCTGAGACCATTCGCAGTCTCGTGGAAGCCGTCTCTACTATCGGGGAAAACCTCATTTCCTTCCCCCCTCGCATTCTTGTTTCGTTTTGCCGCTTTCCTAGTAGGGCGCTGGGCCTCGTCGAGGACAGCCCGCCACCTGTCGCCGACGGTGAGACTGACGGCATCGAAGAGGTCCTACACACACTTGATGCGATCGGCACTGTGGTATCGACGTGGAACATCACAGAGACCAAGTACAACCGCGCGCTAGTGCTCGCGATCGATGAGTTCGGGATGAAAATAGCCTCGATCAAGAGCATGTATGAGATCACCGACATCGGACACAATGTTGACGTGGCGGGCTTGAAGCTCACCGTGGGCACACTGTTCGCAGAATACGAGGAAATCAACAACCTTGTCAAGAACTTCAACGCGCCGAGGCGCTCCATCAAGCGGCAAGCGAGTGACCCCATCGAGACATTGCAGGCTCAGTCGCAGGCGCCCGAGGACCCGTCGAGCTTGCCGATCGCGGACGGTTCTGAGCTGGCGGCTGCGAGTGTTGGCGAGGCATTCCCGCCTGGCTACCACGACTCGCAATTTCCGTAGGCTCCCTCAGAGCCAGCGCACACTCTGCTCGTGAGAGGCTGTTTTGTATTTGGCGAGGCGGTAGGGGTGCCGCTTGCCTCTACCCGTTCATACACGACGCGCGTAGCAGAGCATTCAACCATACCTCATCCTCCTGCCCCTCCACCTCCACCGTTCGGGGATTCTTGCTAAGTCCAGCGGTGCACCTGAGTGTTCGTCAACTTTTGAAAATTCCAGCGGTGGTCTCGGGCGATATCGGGAACTCTTGGTAATTCCAGTGGCTCTTGGATGTTCGGGAACTCTCGGTAATTCTAGTGGTGCTCGTAGGCTCTCGAATGGACGCAGTAACCTATGGTAACCCTCATGATGCTTCAGGCGCACTTGCTACTCACCCTAACCCCACTTAGAACAGAAACCCTCCAAGACGGCTTGCCAAACTGGTCTGGTCCATCCTCCTCCTCATCATCTCCTCCTCCTCCTCCTTTTTCTCCTCCTCCTCCTCCTCCTCCTTCTCGTCCTCCTCATCCTTGTCATCCTTCTCATCCTTCTCCTCCTCCTCCTCCTCCTCCTTCTCCTCCTCCGCCCCCCCTTTCCCTCCCCTTCTGCCCCCCCGCCCCCGCCCCTCCTCCACCTCCCCCTGTCACCCCTCGCAGTAAAGTGGCAGAGGGCACTCAGAGAGAATGGAAATGAGAGTAGGCTGGAGAGTAGATCCCAGGGTAAGAAACAGCATGGGCGTACTCCTATGTTATTGAAAGGTATTGAGGACCCTGGCGGTTTCCATAAATGCGGCGTTGGCTCCCCGCGAATGCCCAACGAATCTCGCGCAGGCCCGTGAACCCCTCGAGGCCCCGAGGCCCCGCCGACTCCGTCACTGGGGGCCCCCGGGGACTTCCGGGGGCTTCTGGGGGCCCCCTTGGGGCCCCGAGGGCCACCAAAAAGCCGGAAAAAGCTGGAAAAAGCCGGGATTCTGCCGATTCTGTTTTTCGGTTTGCCGGATTTTTTTTTTTTTTTTTTTTTTTTGCGAAAACACTGGCGTGCGCAATGGAAACGTCGAAAAACAGAATCCTGTTTTTCCAGAAAACAGAAAAAAACGAATCGGCAGAATTTTGTTTTTTTTGGTTTTTCCTGGGCCGTAGTTTGTCGTGGCTCAGGCAATTGAGCCAGCCCGAGAGATCGGGGGCCAGGGAGCCAGCCCGAGAGACCAGGAGCCAGCCCGAGAGATCGACCGATGGCCCCCAAGAAGGCGAAGGGCAAGGCGGCCCCCATGGCCGAGCTAGAAGTCCCCGAGGTCGACCAGAGCGACTTGCAGTCGGCGAAGAAGATGTTACAGGACGCGGCTGAGTTGAAACGTCAGCGGAGCAACATGAAGTACTACTTGGAGGGCAAAGGGATGACCGACGCCTACAACTCCCTGGGGAGGGCCGAGAAGATGGCCTACCTCGAGAAGCATCTTGGCAGCAGGATCGCAGCTGGCACCGTCAAGACCACCGTCAAGAACAGCAAATTCATTGAGGTCGGCACGGTCGGTACGGCGGCGTTCCAGTGGATGAACAAGCGGCAGATGGTGAACTTGTGGGGCGAGGAGAAGACCAATGCGAAGATCGAGTCAGGAGCCCAGGCTGTCAAATGCACGCTGCCAAAACCCCAGGCCCCAGTCGTTC